CTGCTATGCAGCACTGCATTCCAGAAAAGCCAGCTTCCACATGACTATTGGCACAGAGCTCCAGCGTTATGTATCCAATTGAAACAAGTCCATTCAACACACTTGGTTATTCAACTGTTTACAAGAAATCCTTCCAAGGGGGGGGGGGGGTTAAACTCAAACTGTGGAACACCATAATGACATCTAGCAATTAAATATAATTATTGTCATTAGCAACTAAATGCCATTAAAACTACCATAGTACCACTTACACATGGCAACCAATAAATGACTGGTACAAATTGACAAGGAAAAAGTGTAGAGGGATTGCAATAAAGAAGTTATTGTGGACAAAAAGGGTACATCATTCTGCATTATAGAATTAATGCAGTTTGACCCCTCTTGACCTGCCATGGCTCAATGCTGTGGCAGTTGTAGCTTTACATGGTCTTTAGCCTTCTGTGCCAAAGAGTCCTGATGGCTTACCAAACTACAACTTCCATTATTTCACAGCATTGAGCTGTGGTAATTAAAGTGGTGTCAAAGTGCATTGATTCTACAGTGTAAAGGCACCCAAAGTTCTGCCATGGACAATATTATCAATAGGTCCTGTGTTGGTGTCCTTGGAGAGGAACAATTTGGGGAAGTCAGTCCTCCAGGCAGGAAGTGTTAATAGACTGCCTGCTCCTTTTTAGAGATTTTCAAACAATTGTGGTTGCAATGAGAATGCAGCTTTCATTGTTTTGTTTCATTTGCCAAAGATATATCAACAGCAATCGTTAAAGGCATTGCATGCACATTTGGGAGGATCTTTCAAGGAAGAGTGGCCATCCCTCAAGGAAACATTAAATACAATTTAATAACAGAAAGGCTGTCACAAAAGAAGTCTTTTCATAATTTAAAGCTTGCTGTCTCATTTTTTTACAAAGGCCCAAAGAGAAACTATCAACAACTGCTAAAGCCATATTGGAATATCAGATCTTACTAACATATGAGAGCAACCTTATTGCAGCCGTTCGTCCACATTTGCACTTTCGACTTTTGTGGATTAGATTACTCTATGTAACACGATTTTAGTTCTTAGCTCCTCATGCGGGTACATGAGAGAAGCCTCCCACAAGGATGATAAAAACATCAAATCATCCGGGCATCCCCTGGCCAACGTCCTTGCAGACGGCCAATTCTCTCACACCAGAAGCGACTTGCAGTTTCTCAGGTTGCTCCTGACACGACAAAAAAAAAAGTTCTTGGGTTATAAATATCATTTCTTAATTGGTTCTGTGATTTAAAACATGGGAAAAGTTTATTAAACTACAAAAACGTTGGTTTTGTGAGACATCCTGCAGCATATTTTGCTATTGTTTTTCAATGAATATCTCACAGGGCTGGGCTTTAGCACAGTGGGTTAAATTGCCAGTTGCAGAAAATCTTGCAGATCGAAAGGTTGACAGTTCAAGCCTGGGTTGGGGTGAGCTCCTGTCAGTCCAGCTTCTGCTCACCTAGCATTTTGAAAACAGCAATGTTAGTAGATAAATATGTATCGCTTTGGCTGGGAGGTAATAAAAGGCACCATGTGGACATGTCGGCAATTCAATCAGGAGAGCATCTGGGGACAACAAAGCTCCTCGGCATGGAAGATGGAGCAACAGCACGACTCCATGGCCGGAGTCAAGCACAGCTTCCAGATGGAAAAAGATGGGAAGCCTTTACCTCTCTTTATGTACTTTCTGCCTTTGTTAATTGTATAACGGCATTGAATGTTTGCCGTATATGTGTACTGTAATCCGCCCTGAGTTCCCTCAGGAAGATAGGGCAGAATATAAATAAAGTATATTAATATTATAGAGTCTCAATCAATTCAACTTAGTTTGTGGCATTCATGAAAACAAAGATTCTGGAGTATAACAGCTAATTGCAAAGTAAATACTGCACAACTAAACAGGAAATAACACTTTCAAACCAGGCACAGAGTTTTGTTAAATAGTGTTATTCATGGATTTGATTAAAAATATTATCTCTGTGAATTTCAAGGTCCTTCAATACAATCCTGTGGTTGGTTTACAGTGGATATTGGTTCTAGATTAATTTGGAAGATTTGGAAACTCCTAGAGAGGTTTGCTCAGGTTAAAAAATAGTAATTTGAGCTTCTTTACTTTCCCAGTGGTCCCGTACCTCTATCCCCTACGAATGTGGAAGGGTGGCTCTATTACATACTGACAAATATTTGCAAGGGGAAACCTGTTGTGCCATTTATTCCCCACATCACAATTATGATATGCTGATAACAAATATGGGGTATGGATCATGTTGGTACAAGAATGCAGGTAAATATCACACAAAATGTGCTGTGTCTGGTTATATCTTAATTTGTAATTTGGACATTTCTTCCATGTTTCCCCTTTGTATTGATATCTAAAGACTTGTAGCACTTGTCCCAAGTTTCCAGTTCTCCCATGAGTGTTGCATTATCACAATTTTGATTCCCGAGCTGTAGAAATATTGAAGCAAACCTTTTCAGGAAGTTATATTTCTTTGGTGAAAAACTATCTGGGATCTTGGGCAAAAGTCTAATTTTTTGTATATCTTCCAGTAGTGCTGTTTAGATATCCAGGGCCCATCTAGAACAAACATTTTGGCATTCATAACTATTCCTGGCCCCTCTGTGTCCTTGTGGTTTACTTGTGTCCTTTCTTCCTTCGCAATCTCATGCCGGAGGCTTAGTTTGTGTACAAAAAACTTGACATTTCTCTGAGGCCCCCACCCAAGGACATGAAAACCTGTTAGTTTTGTTTTCATTACTCTCATCGTGTTTTGCTCTCCGTCCTAAGGTTCACTTTTTCAAGCTCTGCAACCATCTCCTCTGGTTTCCTGATGACTTTTTTGGGGGAAGGAAGCAGCTGCAAACTCCTTCATCAAACGCAGTTTTGCTTGAGCAGCCTGCAATTGTTGTCTAAAGGCAGTCACTCTTCTTTACTGTGACAACTGTGGTTGCATCAATTTCATATGTTCTCCAGCAGTCACTTCACCACTAAACCACTAAGCCAAATGGAGTCATAGCACTGCCTGGCTCAGTGCTATGACACCTTGGGAGATGTAGTTTTGCAAGACCTTTAAAGTTCTCTATGAGTGCTGATGCCTCCTCAAACTACAACTCCCAGGATCCCAGAGCATTGAGACAGGACAGTTCAAATAGTGTCAAACTGCAGTAATTCTAGCGTTGATGCATCCTTAATTTTTAATTGAAGGATGCAGCTAAACCAGGCATGGGCAAATTTCGGCTCTTCAGGTGTTTCGGACTTCAATTCACACAATTCCTAACAGCCTACTGTGTATACAATATATTATATTATCAGCACAACACAATACTAGTATTATACATTACTATATTGCACTATACCACTATAGTAAAGGTAGGTAAAAGTTTTCCCCTGGCATTAAGTCCAGTCGGGTCTGACTCTGGGGTGTGGTGCTCATCTCCATTTCTAAGCCGAAGAGCTGGTGTTGTCCGTAGATACCTCCAAGGTCATGTGGCCAGCATGACTGCATGGAGTGCTGTTACCTTCCTGCTGGAGTGGTACCTATTGATCTACTCAAATTTGCATGTTTTCGAACTGCTAGGTTGGCAGAGGCTGGGAGTGAAAGCGGGAACTCACACCGCTCCCTGGATTTGAACCTGCAACCTTTTGGTCAACAGGTTTAGCAGCTCAGCTAAACCCACTGCATTGACCCACTGCGCCACTGGGGGCTCTCTGATATAGCACTATACTTTATAAGGAAACACAACATACAAACTATCTTCAGACCCACCAAGAAAATCCAACAAATGCTACGTTCAGCAAAGAACAAGAGGGATCCTCTCGCTTCTGCAGGTGTCTACTGTATACCATGCAGCTGTGGACAAGTCTACATAGGGACCACCCAACGCAGCGCCCAAACACAAATCAAGGAACATGAAAGGCACTGCAGACTACTTCAATCAGAGAAGTCAGCCATAGCAGAGCACCTGATGAATCAATCGGGGCACAGCATATTATTTGAGAACACAGAAATGCTGGACCACTCTCACAACCACCATGTCAGACTACATAGAGAAGCCATTGAAATTCACAAGCATGTGGACAATTTCAACAGAAAGGAGGAGACCATGAAAATGAACAAAATCTGGCTACCAGTATTTAAAAAAACTCTAACATTACAACAGCAAAACAACAGAGGGGAAACAATCAGGCACATCTAATCACCTCTCAACAAAAGATTGCCCCAGGCACTACTAATCAAGGTGATCAGTTGAAACATTCACACCTAGCTYCAACAGACAAGAGTTCTTTGCCCCACCCTGGTCATTCCACAGATATATAAACCCACTTTATTAGTTCCAATGGACCTCACKACCTCTGAGGATGCTTGCCATAGATGCAGGCGCAACGTCAGGAGAAAATGCCTCTAGAACATGGCCATATAGCCCGAAAAAACGTACAATAACYCACTATATTTTACCTTTACTTATAATGGTCTTTCTTTGCCCATGTGGAGAAACACCTTCTAGCAGCTCATGAAGCAAGAGCACACTCCAATCTGTCCCTTTGTGCTTCTCTCCAAGCGCCTGTATAGCTCATGCCTGAAAAATGTAACAGTAACCAAAAGTCCCAGACTCAGCTAGTTTCCCCAATCAGCTTGTACATCTTATTTTACAGTTGACACACACACTAACTGATTTCTTTACATGCTCCAACAACTGTTATTATTAATATACTCTGGAAGGTTGTAGTCTGACAAGACCTTTAACCTTCTCATCCCCAACGATTCAATGGCATTGAGCAGAAGGCATTATAGTGGAGACACAGTGCATCCACTCTTCGGTGTAGAGATGCAGGCAGCGTGCTTCTTTCCTCCCTGCCTGCCTGCCTGCCTGTCTCCGGGGCTCCCCCTAGCGGCGGCGGCTGTCCCTGGCGGTGTCAGCTTTCCCGGAAGCGCCCTCCCTCCCTCCTTCCCTGCCTGCCTGGCTCCTCCCTGCAGCCAGTGGCAGCCCTTGCTTCCCGGCGAGGCTCTGCTTCCTTTCTCCCGGCTCACACCACCCCGATCGCAGCGTGTCCTTGGCGGGGAGAGCCCTCTTCCTCCTGGGCTCATGGAGGCGCCCTATTCCCGCGGGCAGAAGGAAAACCCGCTCCGCCAGGCCGGCTTATGCTCTCGGATCTTCTTCTGGTGAGCCTGGAGGGTCCTGACTTGGAGGATTCCTTCCCTGTTGCAATATTGAGCCTAAAGGCGAAGTGGATATCTATATCTGAGCTTATATTGGATATAGATTATATAAAACCGCGCGCCAGGCAGTCATGCCGGCCATATGACCTTGGAGGCGTCTACGGACAACGCCGGCTCTTTGGCTTAGCAATGGAGATGAGCCCCAGGGCTGAAAAAGTTGGGATCAGGGAAAAGTTGAGCATCTACACCAGCCATGGGCAAACTTGGGCTCTCCAGGTGTTTTGGACTTCAACTCCCATGATTCCTAACACCTGGAGAGCCCGAGTTTGCCCATGCCTGATCTACACTGCACGTTGACACCACTTTATGCTATGGCATCCCTGGGAGTTGTAGTTCCACAAGGTGCTGGTGCCTCTCCAAACTACATCTCCCATGTCTCCATAGCCTTGGCAGATAAAATGGTCTGGATCTGCACCCATTCTAGTGTAGATTAGATGCACCTTGTGCCAAGTCTGTCCCTGACCTCAGGGCAAGTTGTAATTCACTTTCTCTCTTTATCTGTTGGTTCCTTTGTCTTCAGGGCAATGCTTTCTTGGAGGAAATGGGCTTTCTGGGCTTGGCTTCCCAAGCAGGGCCTGCCTAGCGCCAGGTCTACGGGAAATGATTCATAAATTCTCATTGTAACTTCGGTGATTTCTTCCAAGATCAAAGAGGAGTGTGGAGACTCCTAAATCTGTCAGGATTCTCTAGGCTTCCGCCAGACCTCAGGAGTGAGGCACTATAAAACGTTTTTTTAAAAGTTGAAGATACAATATTTTATTTCAGGGGGAGGCTTTAAAGTTGGTAAATGGGACAAAAAGTGCATCTTCTCTGTAGAATGAATACGTTTTGACACCATTTCAACTTCCATGGGGTCATGGGAGTTGTCGTTTTGCAAAGTCTTTAGCTTCTCTGCCAAACTGCCAATCTTAGGAATTTTTTTGTGTGTCAGGAGCAACTTATTTATTTATTATTTATTTACTATATTTGTATACCACCCTTCTCTGCCCTCAGGTGACTAAGGGTGGTTTACAATGGCAATGATTCAATGACCAAAAACACCATAAAACATTTAAAAACATAAATAATTGAGAAACTGCAAGTTGCTTCTGGTGTGAGAGAATTGGCCATCTGCAAGGATCTTGCCCAGGGGACGCCCAGATCTTTTAACATCCTGTGGGAGGTTTCTCCCATGTGCCCAATTTTAGGATTCCAAAGCATTGAGCTTGGCAGTTAAAGTAACCTCAAACTGCATCACTTCCGCAGTGTAGATGCACCCAAAGTGTGTATAGAAAGCTGTGACACTGTACCATTGAATTAAAATGTTATACAACTTAAATTTAGTAAAGTCATCAGGCATAAGTTATCTTATTTGAGTGAAAATCCATAATTATTCATAATAATAATAATAATAATAATAATAATAGGGTTGTTGTAGGTTTTTTGGGCTATATGGCCATGGTCTAGAGGCATTCTCTCCTGACATTTCGCCTGCATCTATGGCAAGCATCCTCAGAGGTAGTGAGGTCTGTTGGAACTAGGAAAAAGGGTTTATATATCTGTGGAATGACCAGGGTGGGACAAAGGATTCTTGTCTGTTGATTCGTGTTTGGGCGCTGCGTTTGGTGGTCCCTTTGTAGACTTGTCCACAGCTGCATGGTACACGGTAGACTCCTGCTGAAACTAGAGGATCCCTCTTGTCCTTTGCTGAACGTAGCATTTGTTGGATTTTCTTGGTGGGTCTGTAGATAGTTTGTATGTTGTGTTTCCTCATCAGCTTCCCTATGCGGTCAGTGGTTTCCTTGATGTATGGCAAGAACACTTTTCCTCTGGGTGGATCATTGTCTTTACTCTCGTGGCTTGTTCTTGGTCTCGCAGCTCTTCTGATGTCTGAGGTGGAGTATCCATTGGCCTGGAGAGCCCAGTTGAGGTGGTTCAGTTCATCTTGGAGGAGGTGGGGTTCGCAGATTCTTTTTGCATGGTCTTCCAAGGCTTTAATGGTGCTTCTTTTTTGACTTGGGTGATGGTTGGGGTTTTTATGTAGATATCTATCTTTTTATGTAGATATCTATCTGCCTCTAGACCATGGCCATATAGCCCGAAAAAACCTACAACAACCCAGTGATCCCGGCCATGAAAGCCTTCGACAATACAATAATAATAATGTTTATTATTCAGGAGCCCCCAGTGGCACAGCAGGTTAAACTGCTGAGTTGCTGAACTTGATGACCAAAAGGTCAGCGGTTTGAATCCAGGGAGCGGGGTGAGCTCCTGCTGTTAGCCCCACTGAAAGATCGACAGTTTGAATCCAGGAAGCGGGGTAAGCTCCAGCTGTTGGCCCCAGCTCCAGCCAATCTAGCAGTCAGTAGATGCAAATGTCAGTAGATCAATAAGTACCGCTTCTGTGGGAAGGTAATGGTACTCCATGTAGTTATGCCGGCCACATGACCTTGGAGGTGTCTATGGACAACGCCGGCTCTTTGGCTTAGAAATGAGAAGAGCACTCCCCGATGGCTCTTTGGCTTAGAAATGGAGATGAGCACCACCCCGCAGAGTCGGACACGACTAGGTTTAATGTCAAGGGGAAACCTTTACCTTTATTTATTATTCGTCAGTCCTTTTGGCTCAAGGAGGGGCACAGCATAGCAAATACACCTTGTGAAAGCACATATTAAAAGATAGTTGAAATGCAACAATTAAAGCATATATACACTTATTAATATACATGAAACAAAGGTCAAAACACAATAAACATAGAATGTGATTTTAACATTCATAGTGAAGATTGACTGGGTTGGCCTGTTGCACTCAGAACGCCCCATTTCTGCTTTCCTCAGCAGAAATTAAGAGATTTCTTAATATTTTATGGCCAAATTCTGATTTAATTGGGATTTATAGTCAGGCAGGTGAGTGTAGGGAGAGTGAGTGTGATGTTGAGGTTTGACATTTGAATCAAGACTTAGGGATCTCATTCCGCCATGGAAACCCACTGGGTCATTTTGCATAAGCTGCACTCTATTAGCCTCCGAGGAAGGCAGTGGAACTTTTTTTGGCAGAGGCTCCTTTTTTGGAGGCTTTTAAACAGAGGCTGGATGGCAATCTGTCGGGAGTGCTCTGAATGTGATTTTCCCGCTTCTTGGCAGGGGGTTGGACTGGATGGCACATGAGGTCTCTTCCAATTCTATAATTCTAATACCCTCCTCCCTCACCAAGAAAAGTACAGAATAGATAGTTTCTCCGTAGAGTCACGATAAATTGGAAGAACAACAAAGTGGGCACAGGATCGCAGCTTTGAATGGACTGCATCTTGTTTTGGAGGAACAAGCCGGTACGATTAACTGTCTAGAAGAAAACTGGTAGTATCCGGGTGATTCAACGAAGAAAGAGGCTAATTCATTGCTGGAATTAAGTCAGGTTTCCTAGTTTATGACCCACAAACTTCCTGGACAAGGGTTCATGCTCGCTAGTTAAACTTACAGCACAATGGTTTACAATTTTTTAAAAAGCCTCTATAGTTTCTAGGATCAAAACCTCACATTGAGATCATGCAATGTGTAAGCGTATTCCTTTCTAGACTTATTATCGGTAGAGAGATAAAGACCAGTCTGGTTTGATTCTCTGCATTCTTCTTCATACTGGGCCTCAAATTCAGTTACGTATAAGAGAAAAGTGTCGATGTAACGCACACTGCTGCTGTAGTCGGATATCAGAGTGCAATATTGTTATGAGTTATTGTGCATACATTGACTTTTTTCCCTTCTAAGATAATTCTTCTATCCTTGCTCACTTAAAATGTTTTCAAGCAATGTTTGGTTTCTCCATCTGATGGCAGTGAGTCTTATTTTTGCAGTGGCATCAATTCTGTATGCACTTCAGTAGTCACTACTCTACTAAATTACTCATGTCATAGGAGATCCCTTGTGGCCGAGCATGATTGCTTTCCAAGTGTAGGGTCTTGGCAGTGAGTCTGTAGGTGGCTATAGAGACCTATTCTTGATTTGCATGCTCATTTGCATTCAGGACATTTGTTTCCAGATGGAAGACGGTCCCAACAAGGGTTGGCTTGATGTGCCTTCCTCTTGACATGTTTCTCCCTTTCGCTCTCTGTTTGCTTCCTAAAGTAAACTACTAATCTATATGAATACAATGGGCCCTTGGTATCCACTAAGCTTTGGCTCAAAGCCTCCTTTGGATACTAAAACCCCTGGATGCTTCAGTCCCATTCTGTGCAATACCGTGGTAAAATAGTATCCCTGACAGTAAAGGCAAGGTTTGCTTTTTGGATTATCTTGACTATTTTCAATCAATGGGTGGCTGAATCCGTGAATGAATGCATAATCTGTTGACATGAAGAACAGGCTGAACTTGCTGCCACCCACCTGGCTCTTTGCTTGCTGGAGAGTCAGCCTTGAGTTGAAGTGGGAACCTGAAGTTGTCCCCAAAATGGATTTAGTTCTGCCTTTTTCTTGGGATCAGAGTAGATGGGCATGAAGAGAGCATCTATTCTGAGGAATATATAATATACTTTTATTTATATTCCGCCTATCTCCCCGAGGGGACTCAGGGCAGATTACAGTACACATATATGGCAAACATTCAATGCCATTATACAATTAACAAATACAGACAGGACATAAACAGAGGTAAAGGCTTCCCAACTTTTTCCATCTCCAGCATCTGGAGACTGTTCTTGACTCCAGTGATGGAGGGGTGCTGTCGCTCCATCTTCCATGGCAAGTAGCTTTGTTGTCCTTAGACATTATCCTGATCAAATTGCCAGCATGTCCGCCTTTTATTACCTCCCTGCCAAATGGGTACCTATTTATCTACTCACATTATTGTTTTCAAACTTCTAGGTGAGCAGAAGCTGGGCTGATAGTGGGAGCTCACCCCAGCCTGAGTTTGAACTGTCTACCTTTTGATCGGCAAGATTTTCTGCAACTCTCGGTTTAACCACTGTTCTA